GCTGACAGAGGCTGGGACTCAGAAGGGTCTCGTGAGAGGTCAAACAGTAGTGGAGGGTCATGATGGGTCACGCCTTCCCCAAAACATGGGCAAAATCCTCTGTCGTAACAAGCTCCAGCCCCGAGTGGACGAAAGTTTGGGGTTACAAAATGAGCCTTCCAGACAGCTCCACCTGCCAGGAAAGAAAAAAGGCTCAGAATGATATTGATGGTTATTATCACCAAGCATTAGAGGACTGAATGTTTTCCTACAGTTAATTTTTGTGAGATTGGTTTGCACATTGGGTCTACATTAACTACTCGATAGAGTTTTGTAATTTCATTTAAATTGAATGACACAAAATATAAACTAATACTGTAAAATGATTTCTGATTTTTCTAAATTTCTTCAAAATTTTCAGCAAATATCACTTATGCCTATTTTTGTTATTTTACATAGACAAGAAAAAAAGATTTGGGGTTTTCATGGCTTGTTCCTTGTTAGGGTAGGACAGACAAAGGACTGAGACAAAGACTTCTGCCTGAGACAAAGAAGGCATGGATTCTCCAGACCTTGCATTCAAATAGATGGATGGGCAAGACCCATCCTGAACTCCAGTATTCTGCTTGGTACTACAGCTTACTACTGCTTGTGTCGCATACTTAGAAGCCACGAGCAAATACTTTGTGTCACAAAAGTACATGCAATGTTCTTTATCATCTTACACATGGAACTATTTGGAAAGTTTGAATTCCTCTCCAAAATGGGTAAACAAATCTGTCCTACTGTAGACTAAATTGAGATCTTGGGCAATAATAATTGTACTCACTGTCCTTCTGGTGCCATCGCACAGCATGTAAATGAGTGCCACAGTAATGAAACAGGAACTTGTGCTCTGAGTGCTCAACTGTTCCTTGTAGTAAAGGCATCAAATCCCGGCCATCAATTACTCTAACAGAAAAAATGGAGATCATCAGATTGGGGACAGCTGTTCAGTTCTATATTCCCTCTGGACACCTGTGGTTGGAATTGACAGCTCTGAACAAAGAAGATGCTTGTAGACTATAAGCAGATGTTGAATCTCAAATGCAGAGAAGAGGTGACTGAGCTAGAGTGACTTATGTGCCTGGAAAAGGAGCAGGAGTGGAAAAGAAAATGTCAGACCCTTAGAATATATTTCAGAAATAGGTTTTCTATTATCTTGAGAGAAAAGGAGGAATAAGGACACTTGTTTGTACCTGTCCTGAGGTACTACTCCTCCAGCCAAATGAACTACTGTGGGATAGATGTCCATAAGGCTGGTAGGTTCACTGATCACTCTGCCCGCAGGTAACACTCCTGGCCATCTAAATATTCCTGGGACGCGGATTCCTCCTTCCCAGCCTCCCATAGCTTTTCCACCTTTCATTGAAAAAAAAAAAAAAAAAGCCCCCAAATTTTCATTAAAATAAATGCTTAATTTAAAATAAAAAGAAATTTTAGATGAATGCTCTGTATTAGCATAAACTCTCTATCTTATCTTCTTGAGTCTTCCTCTTAGAGTTTACCACTAAGCTCCTTCTCATTAGCACCACTGATAACGTATTGACTCAATCACTCCTTAAGTTACCTTCTACTCTCACTCCTTTTTGTTGTTTTATAAGCATGTTGCAACATTAGAACTCAATGTGGATAAAATTTTTAGGTATAAAGTGATTTCCCAACACTCTTCTCCTCCTTTGCAACCATATAAAATACTTGCTGCAGTTAAAGCAAAGTTTCAGATATTATCATATTTATGGATGTTAACCATGTGTAATAATGATTAATTTGTGATCAGTTGCCCCTTAAGGAAGAGCCAGTTTGAAAATCATGGAACTATTTGCACCTACTAGAATTGTGTACATTTTTGTATGCATAATTATCAACTCCCAGTGAAAAAAACCTGTTAATTCTGAAACATGCAGTCTTACCTAAGCTTTAGTGGTACCCTGAATACTGTAGTAGTTGTTGCTGGGTTGTCACCATCTTACCTCTGTATATTCCATTCCAACCACCCAGCTGCCTTTTGCCTTCTTGTCTCTCCAGCCATCCACCATGATCAGAGGCAAAGTAAACTAGTGTATTTTTTTTCAAACCTTTCCTGTCAATAGCATCTAGAACCTGCCCTGCAAACACAAGAATGCATATATATTTAAAAATTAAAAATATAGTTCACACAATATACCTTTTAGCCTCTGACTTGCAAATATTTATCTATGTATGTATGGTCAATGTTTAAAAGAAAAGTTTTGCAGGACATTTGTTATTTCACTGTCTACAAAAGCAAAAAATGGTGATCTGCTGTAAATCTTTTTATAATTAGCATTTTAGAAAAGGAGTGCAAGAATGACAGTTACAGACCAGGAGCCTCTATTGTAAAGGAGAGAAGTGTGCTGTAAAATTATCTAAGTAAAACATTATTCAAGGCCTCAAAAAATTCTGCATTTGCAGAATGGAAAGGCTCACTTGATCAAAGACTCTAGAAAATAAAAAGCTAACAGTGTAAACCAACAGTGACAGATATTAGGACTTTTTTTCTCTCCGCTGTTAATTCTCTTCCTTGTTCTTCTACTGACAGCTGCATTTTTATTATAAAATGCGTTATTACACTTCATTGTGCACAGCTAGACATTAAGTAGCTGGAGACACTTTTATTTGCTGGTGACTTACCCACCATCCAGTCCATCTCCTCTACATTGTCACCATATAAGCCATGGCTACTCTTCCCAAGAAACTTCTCTGATGTGAGTAGAGGGGTGTGAGAGTGTAAAAATGAAAGAAAGAGGAGGAATGGCTTGTGCTTATTTCTAAAAAACAGAAATCAACACTTGGTTACTAAGAGAAAGGGTCTCAGTTCTTACAGAGCTCAGTCATAATGGAAAATGGTATTATGATTTACATACATATTCCAATAGTACACTCAGAAACGTCTTACACTGATTTGGATCTGTCTGCAAAATACTGGTTTTTTTTTTTTTCCCATTGAGTCACGCATAGAAAAGTTTCATACTGAGGCTCCACTTTCTGCTATTGCAAACTATCACAGTGGTACTGAAATGAAGAGGTTTGTCACCTGCCAGTGACTTCCCACATAAGTCTGCATGATATAGCTAATTCATCGCTTTTCTTTCCCTTGCTGGCACACACATTTCTCCTATCATCTGCCATTAAAGAGAACTGGCCCTAACATGGAGCACAGTTGAACCTTACTACTGACTGGCTGCCAGCCTGTTTTGACCCCATTTAGTAGAACTGGCCCCTCAGACAGTTGTTTACCCATCACATTATGTTTTTGTCTAGCTGTATGTGTGACATTTTGTCCTGAAGGATACCGTGAGAAACAGATACTGTGAGAAACAGCTCTGCTGAAATCCAGAAAGATTACATTAACTGGCTTCCCTTTGACAACTACAAGGGTAGCTTTGTCAAAAGAAAAGAGATTAAGTTGATTAAAAAGGACTTTCCCTTCATGAACCCATGTTGGCTGTAGCCAATTACTGCACTGTCTTTTGTTTTAGTACTATAGAATCATTATTAGCATATATTACTATTCGTTATTCTATCTTCTGTTAAAGAATATACAGAGACTTAACAGAGGAAAATGCTGTTTAAAAGTTTAAAGACATGCAGAAAACCAGAATAAATGTTTGTAACAGAAATTCACATTACCTTTCAATAAATGAAATGGCCTCTCTCAAAATAAAAGATGTAGTCCTTTCTGTCACCATTGGCTGCTCAGTGACTTCATGGTTTCTCATTATAATGCAGTTCCAATATCTTACAAATCCATAACTTGAGAACCAGGACACAAAAAAAAGGAGACTAAACAGAGCAAGGCAGGTCACTGTTTTCCAGTGGACAGAAAACAAGCCGGTGAGTTTCCCTAGGGCAGTGGTGAGCGTAGCGAGGGCAATCATCTGAGTATAAAGCCGAACTTTCCTTCTGAAGGCTCTATCCATCTCTGGTTCTTCTGTTGTTTGGCAGTCACTTATTAGCGTAAAAGGCATCCCATAGAAATAATCAAACCCATGGTTCAAAGGGTGATGACAATGGTCATTTCGGTGTTCACAATTAACACCTAGATGCCACTTCCCTGAAAATACATATTATTAAAAGGTAAAGAAATAATATGTAAAAATGAGCTTTTCTTCATTAAAACATTTCTCAAAAAAATGTTTTGTTTTTTTTTTTCTTGCTTGTGGCAACTTCTTCATCCCACAGATACATACTTAAGTATGCATGGATAAAATGGGGTGTATCTTAATAACTGATGAACGTTAACCACTGTAAATTATAAATTTCCACCAGAGTTATTGGTTCTTTGTATACATATTCATGCCTTGATCATGTAGCTATGATCAAATACAAATAAGTCTGGACTATGAAAAGAACTAGATACATGGAAAGAATCAGTTTTTCATAACTCTACAAAATGTATGGCCTTCTTGAAGATGAAATGGTATGAAATGGGAGAAAGGAGACCACTGAAAAGCACATGGAAAAATAACACTGTTCTATTGTCTTTTTACTTTCAAGATGCTATGAAGACTCGCTTCTGGAAAGTTTTTAATAACTTAATGGAAGGATTTCAGCTAGACTCAGTGATGCATGGTGTGCATCAAATAGCATACATCTCAACAGTGGTTTTGTCAGGTAAACCACAGGATCCAGGGCTTACACTCAAGAGGTCAAGATTCACCATGAAACTGTATATGTTTAAGTCAGTTTGTTGATAATATTATCTCCATATCCTGAATGAGAATATATATATATATTTTTTGCTGTATTTGTATTTAATCATAAACAGTCAAAGTGTTTTTCTTTTAAAGTCTTCAAACATCAAAAGGAAGACCTCTTGGCATTTTACAATACCATATGTTCTTTTTTTTTTATCATCAGATGTTCACTATTATGATGAATGGCACATCAAAATTATGCTTTTCCTTCCTTTTTAAGTTTATGCAATCAGACTGGTTAGGTACTTACACAGAAACACAACAAGTCGGCTCCTTTGGCTCAAACACTGAGGCTTAGGAATATCTGAATGAAATGACAGGAGTCTTGTGCAGGAGGTGCAGCTTAATTACTTCTTACAACCTCTAATGCAATGGAGTCCTTGGATGTCAGATTTATAGATCAAAATGAACCCTCAGAATTTTACTAAAAAAACTAATTTGCAACCAGTTCTTATTGTGGATTAAAGAACTATGCACTTACTGAAATACATCATCCTAAACAAAGAAAGAAAGTTACTTTTTTGGATGTTAATATAAAGAAAGGGGAAAGCTATATTCTAGGTGCATGAATTATTTACAGCCAAAATCTATATTCAGTTTACCTCTTAACATATTTAGAACCAGCTGTAAAATGAAACAGGTTTGTAATAAACATGTAGATGTATTGGTCATAAATACAGGTGCAGCTAAAGTATCCTTGGACTTCAGATGTACTTTGACACCTTAATCTCTAGTTGAGTTTGACAAAGGTTTCTGACATGCTCCAAAAAGCTCAAAACTACAGAAGTTAAATTGTCTAATAAGGATAAATTATTCCTTGAGGGTGTATGTTATACAGCATTGGCTTTATGACTTACAAGGACTCTACAAAGCATTTCCTGACATCAAACCACAGTTTATCAGTAGGATTTAACTATGCAATTAAACTGATTGTGCTCAGAACAAAGCAATGACAAACCACTCAGCTGCAGCAATTAAGTGGCCATTCAATTGTAATGATATGGACAGATGTTATTTAAGATTTCTTGTTTCGTGACTTGAATGTTATTTATTCTTATGGTTTCTTCTGGTAGATTTTTATTTTGCTTTTATGTCACTATACCACCTAAAAAGTTCATATAATCAGAATCTGTGAATCTAGATAAACTACATGACTAAAAGACACTCTCAGGGAGGTGAATCAACAGGAGGGGAATCAACTCTTTGAAAGGGTAGATAACAGCAGGACAAGGGGAAATGGTTTTAAGTTGGAGGAGGGAAAATTGAGGTTGGATATCAGGGGGAAATTCTTTACAGAGAGAGTGGTGAGGTGCTGGAACAGGCTGCTCAGCGAGGTTGTGGATGCTGCATACCTGGAGGTGTTCAAGGCCAGGTTGGATGGGGCCCTGAACAACCTGGTCTAATATTAAAATGGGGACGTCTGTGGCCTTGCATGTGGCAGGGGGTTGGAGATTCATGATCCTTGAGGTCCCTTCCAACCCTGGCCATTCTGTGATTCTGTGATAGCTGAAATGCCAGGGAAAATGGTGGCCCATTTTGCTAGATATCTCCCAGGTGGGATGCAGCAGTCTCCCCACAGGGCAATTCTTTTTCAAAGTGGGGACAAATCTGATTATTTCATTAGTGATTAAACGCTGATGCCAAGCTGAAGAACTTGGCTAATGGGCACAGGCTATTTTATGATATTGCTACAAATCCAACAGAAAGATTTGTTAATATAGAACTTAAAATGTTTAGAAGGCTTTACTTTGCTTGCTGTTGTTCTTTATGTCTCCAATTTATTCTGCTGGATGAATATAAATCCATTGCTGCAAACATTTTTTTGCAGTAAATTCAGTTTACTTGTGCAACTGTTGTTTTTTTTTGTGTCAGTCATAGATTTTGGCTATGGGCATTTAGAGGCTTGGATGAAGTAGGGCAAATCATTGAATATTCATCTCCGGAACTTTTGTGTTTCCTCAGTTCTGCAGTGCCATGTGACATATCTAAGATAAATAATCATTTGAAACTGCATCGGGAGGAAAAGTTACAACTATATTAAAAAAGCCTGTAAAATATAAAGTAAAATGGAATTTCTATTAATGCTGAAGGATGTAATGTTTTGTTGGTTTTGCTTAAATACTGGTGAACTACAAAGGCATGATGTACTTAAAAAGAAGTAATTGCTTTGTTTCTGTTTTTGAAAGACCAAATCCCATGACATTTTGAACTGATTCCGCTGTTTTAAGCAGCAGCTGTTCCCTTCTGTGCAAGTTGAGAGTTTGCTGTTTTCCAAACAAACCATAAATATGCATATTTACATGAAACTCATGCATTTGCTTTCTTGTTAAATAGCACTGGAATAACCTGTAGAATGGCATTCAGTTAATATATTTAACAACATATTTTCCAATATATTTTTTGATGACCTACTGTCAACATGCTTGAAAGCAGGCCAAGAGTAGAGGTCATTCTTTTTGTCAGACATTTCTTCTTTTATGAGATTCTTTTTGGTCAGAACATGATATGCTAGGATCAGGAAATACAAATATTACTGCTGAGGTATAGGCATTTGCTAAAGAAACCAACGGGTTTGAGTGAGATTTATGGGTGAAACATAGTGTAAGCCATTAGGTATTAGGAGGAAATTTCTTTCTCAGAGAGTGATGAGGCATTGGCATAATTTGCCCAGAGAAGCTGTGGTGCCCCATCCCTGGAGGTGCTCAAGGGCAGGTTGGATGGGGCCCTGGGCAGCCTAAGCTGGAGGAGGGCAGCCCTGACCATGGCAGGGGTTGTGGCTGGGTGGGCTTTGAGGTCCATTCCCACCTAAGCCATTCTGTAATTCTATGACTGATCCAGTGATTCACAAACGTTTCCATACCGATTAGTCCTGTGCTGTAGCCTTGTCGCTGCAGTATTTTGGCAAAAGTGGTCTCATTTGGAGGGAGCCCTCCTGAGCCACCATTCCAAAAAATAACACGGTAATTGTTTATAGCATCCATTCCTACAAAATAATAGTAAAAAAAACCTCAATAAGTATAACTGGTAATTTTATTAAATGGACTTCCTTGTTTCCTGATTTCATTGGTGTTACAGGGTTAAATATTTATCCTAATGCTGTTAGCTTGGGGACATGAATCTAGGACAGTGAACAAGGACAAGAAAGAGTTAAATCTCTCCACTGCATAATAGCTATCCTTCTCTGCAGCTCACACCGCACCATTTTAATGTGCACTGGCACAGTTACACAGATGTATTTATACGTTGCAGTAACATCCAGGCTGCAAGCAGTGCACTGGCCTAGTGTGGTGGTGAGGACAGGGAGCACAGGAGGGAGATTTTGGACCTCTGTTACCCTCAAACTCCACCTTGCATATGGCTGCCTGGGAACTCAAAATGCTCTGCAGAGTGGCAGAGCTACTACTATATGGCTGCTGAAACCCACAGAGAAGCTACATGGCACCATGGTCTTCTCCACACCTATAGGTTTATACCCTGTTACTCAACTTTATATACTGACATAACCCTGTCATATGATGTAATGTGAAGTATGAAATGCCATGGAAGCACTGCATGTCTTGGCCTTGCTGTTACAGTGGGAGACAAGGTCTATACAAGTGCATGTGCATTTTCCAGTCTCAGTGCAAGTTATCAGTACAAAAATAGGATTACATATTGGCTTCAAAATGCCTCAGGAATGAAGACAGTGAGGATCATTTGCAATAGGACCAGTAATACAGTCACTGCCAGAAACATACAGAGCTACTTGTTTATCATACTTCTTCAGTTCAAGAAAGCATTTTGATAGAATAGTAGTTTTAAATCAAAAACAGAACTGAGAAAAATAATACAGCTGTCAAACTGTAATTATGTAGGACAGATGCATTCTGATCCACAGATAACAAATCTGTTCTGCAAACAACTTGCTCTGCACCCAGACTGGAGGGAATAAACAGAAATCTACAGAGATCTCTGTAGATCTTTGTAATGACTTATCTGAAGGTAAAAAGCAGTACCAATTCCATTCTAGCTGCGCTAGAGCACCAAAAGGCAAACAGAGTTACTAGGTGATGGGGAGCAATCTACTCTGGCTTTCCCCCTGCCCCCTCAAGGCTGGTTCATTGTACCCCATAAATACAGATGCAACATCAAAGGTATTAGACCTAGCTGGTGAGTCTTCATGTGCCTTCATGTCCACAGCACTCTCATTTCTTTTGTGGTGATCATATAGCACTGTTCCATTCAGCAATAAAGTAATGTTTAAAGGCCACTTGGCTGTGCAAAGCAAACCTGATCGAATGGGATATCTGCCAGTGAGAAACGCTGCTCTGCTGGGGGTGCAAAGTGGAGCTGCAGAGATGTGTTGGGTCAGCTTCACTCCTTCCCTTGCCAGGCGATCAATGTTTGGAGTCCTAAAAGCACAACCAGCATTGTCAGATATCAATCATAGAGCCTTCAAAGGAATGGGAATGAGGAATAATACACTTACCTCTGTTTTGGGAATCTTTTTTGTACTTGAATTATCTTTTTTATTTTATTCAAGATTAGATTTTTTTTCCCCTTCATTAAAAAGAAAAAAAGCTGTCTGGATACATTTCAAGACAATTATTCCTTCTTATTTCTTACCATTTCAGATGCTACTGAGGTTGTTGGTGAATGGCACCCCACTGCTATTGAAGAAAAGAACTCAAGCCTTGAGGATATCTTACGCTAGAGGCCAAGCCATGCAGAGATGACTGCCAGAAACTTGCTAGTTGGTGTTGATCAGGGTGAGATTCTGAGAACTTTTCTGGCTTAGCAGGGTAATCACACAAAGTTTGGTGACAAGCTGGTAGAAGGCCAAAAGGCATTAATGTGGCATGATTTCCAAAGAAAAGGCAAACTCTATGTCCTCAAATTTGTAAACAGAAGTATTTCCTATTAACATAATTCACATCAGTGATTCGCTTGATGAATGACAAAGCACTTGAAAGAGGAGACAGTATTTCTATCTTCAGATACATGCAAGTGCTTAGCATTTCTCAGTTTACATATTCCCAGATAAGAACAGCTCTGCATAGCAGAGCTGGCCCTGGGAATGCCCTCTAGGGTGTAAGGTACTCCAGGTAGTGTTATTTACATTTACATAGTGACTCCCATAGGAAATCTCCCCATTTCTGCAGTAAATGAATTTGAAGACTGCTGTAATGGCTGGCGATGGGCAGAAGACAGAAGGCTTGCATCAAATATCAGCTCTGTTCATTAATATGCTGTTTCCTTACCTGATAGTATCATTCCCGTAGCAACCTACATCCCCTATACCAAGATCATCAGCCAACAACAGGACAAAGTTTGGCTGAGTGATAATGGAAGGCTGTGTCATTAGTGGCTGCAGAAGCAGACTGAAAATCAGGGCTTTGAGCAGGCATGTCCTGAAACACAGGAGAAGGAAGGAAGCCAATGATCTGACCATTCATCCCTCTAATATTACAGTGGTAAAAGCAAGAACCAACCAAACAAACAAACAGAAAATCAGATTGTGAGTATGCTTTACAGAAAGCCCATTCTTTTATAATACGGTGTTCTGTCATTATTAAAGTTAGATGGCTTCAGATTTAATAATAATATTAAAATATTTCATGAACTTTTTCGTACCAATGTGACATTTGTTGCCAAATCATTTCTGCATTTGTAGCATTCAGATCCTGTAAAACCAAAAGAAAGAGGCTGGTTAAGTCTGCATCTTTCTAGTTGTCACTGCCATAAAAATAGATAAAAAACTTAATCAAAGCCCATCAGCATCCATTTACTTGCTTTAGTTTGACTTTGATCAGCTTGTAAATGAAGAAGAGTAAAAGCATTAGTATTATTTTTATTGATAGGATGTCTTCATTTCTTAGAGGAATTTTGCTCTTTTGTGAAGATGTTACACTTAAAATAGCAAAATAATTCTCCTTTATTACACAGCTCAGCTTTTTAAAAAATAGTATTTAGTCAAAAGGAAGTCAAAATCTTTTTGAAATCCCATCTTTTCTGTCATTTATTTTTTCTGTAATCACTGTGATAGTAACAACCTGCTGCTTCTTCACATAACGTGCCAAGTTTCCTTTCAGGCTCATGAGATAAATCTTCAGCCATATAATCTCTAGTCATACTCTTTCAATGAAGAACAGAAGACACTACATTTGTGTCCTCTTATTGTATGACTTCAAACTCCAAGCTGAGCTTTTTTCATCTTTGTATGTATCAGATTTTGGGGTTCTGTGCTATTTCTCCCCTCTGTCTACAGCTTTCTGCAAAGGTTCCTATCGGGATTTTTCTTTGACTGTGAGGGCAAGACAAACTGTTTTAAAGTTAGAAAAATGATCCTCTATCCCAGGCTTTTCAATAGAATCCTTTCAATTTTATCTCGTGTCTTGTGGAACCATCCCATGTCCCACTTTTCAAAATTGTGCTGGTTTAACATTTTGTTTCCCAGAAACAATAATATTTAGTATTTTAATTAGTAACCATGGTTAATACATTTTATTCCTCAGTGTTATAAGCTTCAATGGGAAAATTTACTCCTCTATACTTAGAAAATCATTATTCGGCCATTTACAATACCTCAGTACTGATACAACATTGCTATCTACAGACACTCAGACTTCTGCACCTCGACTTTTGTCTTTGCTGCAAGACAGATATTGGGGTACACTGCAGTTTTATATATGCATACAAAAGTCAAAATTAATGGGATGTGGAAATACTCAAATTTAGGTGTAATTTCTTATCTCAACCTGCCTGTGCTTCATAGTTGGATTATCTTGCTTCAAAGCATGGGGTGGAACTCCAGGCTGGACTTCTTAGAAGCTGGCTGTGAATAGCAGGCAATGTACAGAAAACAGCTTGCTGCACTGCCTGACAGTTACCCCTGCCTGGCCACTGCCTCACTGACGGCAGTGGGAATGCTGCCACAGAAACCTTGGTAGCTCCTGGGGGGTACGAGGGCTTGTCGGAGAAGTTCTCCTAGTTCATTAGCTTTTTGAGAAGTCAGCAGGAGCCCTGTTGTGGGCAGCCAGCTTCTCTCTGGCCTGGTTTTGAGTGCTTTGGAGAACCAACACGTTGAGGCCAAGCTCCATGGCCAAGCTGCCACAAGCAGCTGCTCTGCACCTGAACTGAACCCAGCTGGAAGCAAAGTTCTCCTCCTGTCTCATTAGTTAGCACCTCCAGGAGTAGTATCTCTTTCTTCACCCAATTTAATAATCCTGAGGAGAAACAGCTTGCAAGACTTCTATAGTTTACTGTTTTCCTTTACTGACTGAACTTGTAAAATCTCTTTACTTCTCTATCAAAATTCTCACAAGATAAACATTTACATTTTCAGCTACACTGAGATTCAGATTTCCCAACAGCAGCAGCCAGTTGTGACATCAGCTTGGCAGCGCTCCTTGAAAGCTCTCACAGGTTATATTCCATTCAGTTTGGTCCTTCTCAGTCTGTGAAAATTTCTTCTAAAATTTCCTAATTTATAGACTTCATTTAGGTAAAACAAAACAAAACAAACACAAAACCAAAAAACAACAAAACAGGCACATTCAGAAGCTAACCACTCTCACTTTGAACACAGACATGAATGAGAACAATGCTGTTGTTAAGGGAAATGCCTTCTGAACACTTCCTTGAGATATTTTTATCTACAGCAGCAAGAAACTTTTCCAAATGCCCATTAAAATGTTCCTGTGCATTTCCAGAGACAGCAAAGGAATATGAATACAGTACCTGGCAGTATCAGGTTAGGCTCAGTGCAGGCAGCTGAGGCACTGGAGTGTGATCTTTCAGCCGACTTAAAACCATTCCAAACTTTTCAGCGTGACCACTGCTACAGCGGTGCAGCGTCCCGCATCTGTTCTGAAGGCAGTCCTTAAATCTGCCCTGGCTGCTCATGCGCACTTCCCCCCAAGAAAAGCCGTGCTCTAACACACTTGGATGGGCTGACTTGTGCTGGGGTCCCTCAAGCTGTGTGTTCCTGCTGCCATCTGCACAATGGCAACGTTCATGCAGGCAACAGGGTTGGGCTGGCATGCCGGAGGTGCAGCTGAATGGCTGCTTGCCCAGCCACTGGTTTCTCACGGGAAGCATACAGTCTCCTTCAGGTCTGACATGCTCCAATAAAGATGCAGTAACAGCTCCTAATAAACCTCTCCTCATTTCCACTCAGAAAAAACAAAACAAAACAAAACAAAACAGAAAAGTGCTGTACTTACAAAGCAGTATTTCTTTGCCTGTGGAAATTGAGCACAAATCTTCACTTTATAGCAGCCCTGAGTGCCTGCAGCAATGACAGTGTCACCTCTGCATTTGCAGTAGGATGCAGACTTAGGGTGTGGTGAGGAGGTGGAAGGAAGAGACCTGAATTTGCTTATCCAGAAAATGAGTCATTTGGCTGGACATGTGAATGCTGCCTGGTTTCTTGTCAGTGCTCAAAGGAATGGTTTAGCTACATACAAGCTAGTGCATTCTTTCTTGATTTTCTTGTTTGAGCCCTGTCAGACCAAGTGTTTTGGAAAAGATGCTATCAAACAGCTATCTTGCAGTGCCTGCAGAGAATTTCCTGTGCTTTCATATGTTAAAAGAGAAGGGACATTGTTAGATTAGGATTTGGAAGTGCACCAATGGCAATGCTCAGGTTGGTTTATTCATGGAGCACCTGCATGGCTGGTGTTAGCAATGTCAGCAGTGTATATTATTCCTCTCCCATTTTCTCCTCAACCCAGATTTCTGTGCTGGGATGGTTACAGTTGGCACACACACAGGTGACGTGATGTGCTTGGTATCCCTTTTCTTCTGTTCTCAGTGCCTGCTCCTTATCCCCAACCTTCACTATAGTCACCCAATCTGTACATCTCTATTTCCTATTCCCATTCATGTTAGTATTTCAAGATTCATTAACATGCAAAGGATTCCTTGTTGTCGGATGCCCTCTGCTGCTGCATGTTGTCTGAAAAAATGCACCTTTGGAGGTACTATGTCTTTCTGTTCAGGATGCCATCAGTCCCAGTGCTGACTGGAGCAGGCTCTCATGCTTCTTATTATTTTATTGCTTCTTTTATTGCTTCTTATGTTTTTTCCATGACTTCTTACAAATTATATAGTATTTGTAATGGAGAACCACACTCTATAACTGCTATGTTATTTACTAAATTTACAGTGTAGCAGAAAATCGAGTTCATGTCTGCAGTGACATGGCAGGAATGTACCTCCTATCTCCTTGTTTTATCTAGGGCCTTCAAACCCAGAAAAAGCTGAATCAGAATACCACGGCAAGAAGCACTGCTTGAAATCTGCCTACTGGAAACTGACTTCTGGGCACAGCCATAGTGTGAGGAAGATGTAGAAAGAAGAGCAGACCTTGTGGTTTAAGCACACGCCTCTTAAAACAGCAACTTGTATTTATTTTGGTGTATGATCTTGGAAGGGGAGAAAGATGAAAGCCACATACAGAGGGCTTCTTCCCAAGGCCTAGGGCTCTATGCTAAGCTAATGCTGTTTCCAAACACTGTGCTACCTAGCTCTGCCTATTTTCTGTGGAGAAATCTTCAGAAAGTCTGTATTTATTCTGAACTAGGAATGAATGTGGAAGTCTTGCACACTCTTGTCTTTTACCCTCATTTCCTTTAGAATGGGTGCTGGAGGAAGTAGCACTTACTGACCTTTGAAGTACTTAAAACATCTGAGAACCAGAAACCCCAGACTGGTAGCAGTTTTGTATAGTACGATGATTAAGAAGCTCCCTCTAGTGACTAATATATTTTTGAAATCTTGTTGCATTTTAAGAAATATTCGATTCATTCTCTGCCTTTCTGGAAGTCACTGCTGCTTTTATTTTCTATTCAGCTAAAAAAAAAATATATATATTTTTTATGAATTTTGTTCCCATGATTATTTCTTTTTCTGTTAGAAACAGTAGGTGTAAAAAGAGCACTTAAAACAGAATGCAATGGGCACAAACTGAAACATAAGAAACTCTGTCTAAACGTCAGGAAGCACTTTGCCACTGTGCAGGTGATGGAGCAGCGGCACGGGCTGCACAGAGGCTGTGGGCAGTCCTCCCTGGGCATCTCCAAAAGCTGCCTGGATGTGGCCCTGGGCACCCTGCTCTGTGGGAAGGCCCTGCTTGTGCCTTCCACACTCAGCCATTCTGTGGTCCTGTGAACTGTGACTGACTGGATTTCATTTGTGTGAATCCCAGCTTCTGTAAGCAAAGTAGAAGTTGGATCTCTTCAGGTAAGGGAAATCTTCAGTCAGTGATCCTCAGCAGGAAATAAATTTTCTCATGCTGCCTGCACATGATTCAGACTAGTAAGGCCATTGTGCTGCCCTTGGTCATGCCTATATTTTGTCCCAGGTTTGCACATGCTTTTCTTTCTATTGCCTGCTTCCCACTCAGGACTGTACAGCCCTGTGCTATCCACATCCACTGGTGTCTTTAATGCTCCAGGGGTTACCTGTCTCTTCTAAACCCATTATTGCTCCCACTGCTGGCCCCTCTAGACTATGCAGACTGTTTACACATCCATAATGTCTGCATGGATGCTGCTATTTAGCAACTGTCGCATGTAAGTTAAATGATTAACAAGAGGTAGGTGGGCTCCCATCTTCCCTTCCACTGCAGTAAAGGTAGTCATAGCCGAATCTGTGTGAATATATATACATACCAGAATTTACAGAGCTTATTTCAAATAAATAAGCTCATTTTTTTCTTCCATGAGAAAGAGAGTCGAAGATTTCAGGCAGTTGAGATAGCTAGACTAAAATTTACACTGAACATACTAGAGAAACTACAGCAAAACAAGAATGTGCTGATCTTTCTGCTTGGGATATAGTGATGAGATACAATAAAGATGAGCTGTAAAATACAAAAGATAGATTTTTCTTTTGAAAGTCTGTGGAAGCAAAACATGTATCTAATATGTTCTTAAAAACTCTGCCCTTTAAAACTGCTTTAACCTGTCAGAGGCTGGAATAAAGCATGTGCTTGAGAATCTGAAGGTATTACTTTCTTGTGTTTTATGAAGTTTCCAGAACTGCAACTGTTCTTGCAGATACCGAGAACAATACTGTTAGTGAAGAGCTAGTAGATCTATGGAGGGATGGTTAGAAGTATAAACTATTTCATTTCAGACTGTTTTCTTATGCTGAATCTAAATATACTCACATGGGTGGAGACAATCAAGAAAACTATGAGAATTTTACAAAATTATTCTAGAAACATGTTAATTTATAAGATAGTGAAAAACCACATGCAGCTATTGATGCTGAAAGAACTTGATAAATGTCACAGATTTTTAATATTTCCTAAACTTGAGTGTGAAGTCTAAATGCATCTGTACTAATATACTTCTTCAAAAATTGTCAAGAAGTAGAGGTAGTTTTAGTTCCCATTGTTTATTCATGAGCAATTAATAATAATGGATATTAATAACTGGGAATCATACAAAATTCTAGTAAAATAAACAGCCTACAAACTTTGAGTATTCCATATTCAAGTAAATTTTTTTGTCTGTTGTAAAGTGATCCCACGAAAAACAACATGAGTAAATCCACAACAGAGGAAATCTGTTACACAGCATCCACAAAGGTATGGAATTTGAGAATGCAAAAGGTCTTGAGACTCCTTAAAAGCTGGGAGCAATATCACAGAGCATGTGTTCCGTGCAGATTACACATGGCTTGCAGGGCACAGAACAACACTTGTGTGTCTGAAAACAGCTCAAATAGCAAAGTCAAAAAGGGAGCCTGGAGTATGTTTTGGTAATAACTTCTGTTCTAAAGTTACAGAAATGCTGCTCCTTGTTACTGCAGTTCACAGGCCATCTTAAAACTCTGGTATTTTCCTGGCAATTGAGAAAAACTGTAGTTTCTGAGTTTAGCATTTCAACAGCCATGACACGATTTGTTTTCAAGCCTACTAGTTGTAGTCCTTACCACTGAGAAAATAATGAAGAGATAAGAGGGTAATACTGAGCTGTACATAGAAACAGTTTCTGTTAAATCACAGTCCTTTGAAACTGTATTTTTGTATTACAAAGCATGAGGAGGAGCACTTGTCATTCAGAATTGAGAATCCATTTCATAAAACAGGACGTCTTGCTTGTTTCAGATCACAGATTTCATGAGTTATCTGCTGGAACAACTGAACACGTGAACTAATGACCCAGCACTGCAGAAAGGGGACACATGCACTCATAACAGGGATGTTTGCACTCCGGGAACACAGTTTTTGCTCCAGAAATCAGTGGTGGGAAAATTCCTAATAAAGCCACATTGAAACAGATTTGCTGTGATGGTCTACATGGAACAAAAACATGGATTAGTAGCTGTGAAATGTTTTTATATCAATGGCATTTTTAAGCCAAGGCTGTACTACAGTCTTCTGCATAGCTTAGTTGGTCAAGGTTGTGACCAACCAGTTCACTGTAGGAAATCAATGACTAAAAGGAACCAAAATGCCAGAAATCAGGACATTTTTGGTACAAAATGTGTATTCAGCAGGAGTGACTAGCCAATGCCATGCCATTCAAATGCTCCTATAATAAACGTGGTCTCACTTTTTTCCACTCATGAGTGTACTGTATTTTCTTTTAACATCTCACTTCTGTAGTCTTTTGCAGGGAGGTAAGTGGACAAGCATACTGAAATATCCTGAAGTTGTTGATTGCACCTTAAGTGCTGAGATCTGGAATTCAAATACTGTAGCATCAGTAGCCTTATAAAAACCTGAGAACTCTCTGTTTTTTCTTTTTTAAATTTAAATTGCCATTTATGTGCTGTCTCCAATTACCTATCCATTTATGAAGTTATAGATTGAATTCTTTTTCCCCCATGTGTACCCTATATTTTAATATGTCTGATTTTTCTGCCCATTCCCTCCCTCTCGGCTTTTTGTGGTTTGTAATTAAACACTATGGGTCCCTCCTTTAAGGGTTAGTGAACCAAATTCTACATGGGTAGCTTGGGGAAGGTCACCACTAACAAGATATACCCACAGAGAGAAAGTTTATCTTTTTCACTTTTTATTTATATCTATGGAGGCATTAGGAAGTGTCTTAGAACTTGACATCTGTCATTTATTTTGTTGTTAGAAAAGTTTAAGTAGTGACTTCACAGTTGATACTATATTAAGCAGATTTTCATACAAAGAACTGAAATTCCCTTCTTTCATTTTTAAACCGAACAAGACTAATGTTTGGCAAAATAGCAAAATAATTCTTCAGGAAACAAAATTTCCTCATGCTTCAAGTGCTATGTAGTTATTAACCTTTGCAAGCATTTAAAAGATTCCTTATTTTTAGTTTTTTTTCCTGG